AGTCATGGAAAATTACTGAATTTGTTGATGTCATTGGAAAATTCGATTTCTGTGAAAATAAATAAATTTGCCTATGTACTCGGGGAGGATGAGTTGTTTCTGATGGGTTCACATAATAATAATTGAGTTCTACGAAACTACTTCTCTTGAATGTTCTTTGTTTATGTGTTGGTTTCGTCATTGGTCTATATGTCTGATAATCCATATGTGAGTATTTTGGAGCAATCGAGGGTTTAACCGTAGATTGCAATGTTACTTGTGGTAATGTTGGATTTTTAGGTTTTGTTGTTGTAAAGTTTGGATGTTTTGGTGAAATTTTCTGTTGTGTAGTTGTTACTATTGTTTCAACTGTTTCTTCATTTTTAAAATGTGATGGTGTTTGAACATCATGTTGTGTAAGATTTCTAGTTCCATTCAAATTTTCCTGTTGTACAACAGTTGAATTTAAGCTATTATTTTGTCTTCTATCGGGTAAAAATGAACTATAGTTTAAAGGTGTTGCATCTATTGTAAGTGGGAATACTTTTAGATAGTCTTTATGAATAGAAATTGTACTGATTGCTTGACTTGAGATGTCTATTGGGATGTTCAGGAATAATGGGTGAGACCAATCAGGGTCCCAAAAATAATCTGATTGCTCTGCAATGACAGTGTCATCATTGGTACTTTGAGGTTTGGAATTTTTTCTTGCTTGTGCAATTAAATCAATAACATGTGTGAAGTAGTCAATTATGAACCATGCTAAGATCTTTTGTAAATCGTGTTTAACTTTTTGTGAAATTTCATTGCTTGAAAATTTTTCACAGATTGTGTTTAAAAATGCTGAGAATAAGGCAATTTCATTTTTTACATTCGTGTGTCTTGATGTTTGAACGGGTGACGTACTTTCAGTTTCTGTTTTTTCTATCATGGATAAATAACTATTTATTATTGCAAAAACATCGTTAGTAAATATTGATTTTGCTTTCTGTGAATTTTGGTGTTGTATGTTTTTATGTATTCTGCGAATACTTTTGAAAATTCAATGTCAACGTCATCTGTTTAAATAACATGTTTGCTATAAAATTTACTTTCTGTGCTGAGTTCTATGGTGTAGATTCCATTTTGTTGTGTTAGGTTACATATTCCTTTTAATTAATGATCGACAATTTGTCTTTTGATTTTTATTTCTGAAAATTTTGTTTTACATGGGCTAATTCCTTGTTCGAATACATTTGCGATTAGATTATTGCAAAATTGTATTTGTCCTCTATCTTCAGTGAGTGAATTGATGAGAAAAGGAAAAACAGATTTTCGTCTGGACTTTCGTCACTTGGACTTTGGCTCATTTTTTCAATTTATGACGGTCAGTGCGTAATGTTCAATGTTTTTGATTGGTTGATTCCAATTGTATAAGCATACTGGTTTATTTAAGTATATCTTTTTAATTCTTCTTTTTCCTTGTTCTGATGAATCTGATGTGGCTTCTGAATCAGAAAATTATAATTGATTGTGAAACTGGTAGTTTTTATTTACTGTTTATTTTAGTTTGCAAAGTGCATCTAAATTACTGAATTCTGATTCGAAGACTGCGTTTGTTCGCTTTGAAAATCTTTTTCGTATATTTTGTCTTTGTTTACTAATAATTTTTTTTTAATGTTTGTCGTTCTGTTCGAATATATCCAATCGTTTGTTTGTTTGGTGTGATTACGAGATCGTATGTTTCGTTGTTTACTTCGCAATTGTGTAGTACGATTGTTGGTTTATTTCCTAAATTGTTCAGTGACATAAGGTTTAGGATGAAGGATGCAAGATTATTATTAGTGATTTTAAGATCCTAGAATGTTAGTCCTTATGATGTTTTGGTTAGCCTAACTTGGGACTTTTATTTCAGGGTTGGAGAGAAAAGTATATGTCGATTCCTGAGAATGACTGTTACTTTCTCGTGATTTTTCTAAGTTAAGGTGTTAACTTACTTAATCTTACTTAGGGATAATGATTGTGTTCAAGTGTTGGAGAATAGTAAATCGATCCACAAGGTTCAGCTATAATTAGATTGCAAGTAGTTCGTTAGATACTATTTTAAACATAATACGATTTAAGATTTAGCCTGGGTCAGGTAAGAGGAGGGTCAAGTGAAGGATGAATAACCGAAGTTCTTCACTGTTTAGCCTAATTAGAATGGTTAGAGTGATTTGAAAAACTTCTATTAGTCCTGGGTCTTTGAACGGGTTGGGTAGTGAATCGACGATTGAGGTCGTTAGACACTTTATTAATAGGGTGGGGGAGAACAAAATTGTTCTATTTGATCCAAGGATAAGCCTTGATGATCAGGATATAAATTTTATTGGTATGAAATGAATTAAGTTGAGTATTTAAAGAGATCCAAGGAAATCCTTGATGAAATGTTTTTAAGGTGTAGATAAATTTAAGTTAAATAAAGATACAATTTAGGATAAGCCTTTAAAAATATTTTTAAGTTTTTTTGATAGAAAAGTTTAATTTTTGATGATGTTAGTAGTTTTATGATTGCTGTTATGTTTAGGTGATGAAGCTGGAGATGACACAATGGTTTGTCTATACTAATAATTTTTAATAATGTTAACTAATTTTTATTTTTCTTTTAATAAATATTTTTTTTCAGATATCTCTTTGAATCTTACTGCAGTTTTGGAGGAAACGATTTGAGATGTTTTTATCAATCGTCACTGTACAATAGAAAATTTTGTTTAGCGCCTGAAATAATCATTGAAAATTTCTTCAAGATTTAATGTTTGCAAATGAAAATCAAAATTCATTGCTAGTAAAATTATAAGTATAAAAGTTTGTGTTGGCTTTTGCCGTACGACCATGAAACTTAATGGTAAGTTTCTTCCTAGTCGTATATCGTCTTTTGTCCGAGGTCTTCTTCCAATACCGGGTAGTTCTTGTTTTGTACGGAATAGCGGCTCTGATCTATTGAGTCGTAGAGACATTTCAATTAAATTATTGTCATGTAACATTTCGGGAATGTTTTTGTCTGTTTCTAACCTATTTCGTTAGTTCTAAGCTAATTTGTTTTTTAAGGTCTTATTTGCGATTTATGGTCGCACCAGATGAGTTATGTTCGAAATTTAACTCATAGAGTATTTTCGGATAGGGTAGACCGTCTGCTCGTCACGCTATCTTATTTTCGGCCGGATAGATTCGTGCAATTTCTTAGTCTAATACCGATCCTAATCTTACTCTTATTTCTACTAGTCTCAGGGTGTTTAACTAGTCTCTGCTAGGCTCAATAGATCTAGAGTATACTGGCTTACTGCGATTGCTAGAAGGTCTCTTGTAGAGGTAACTAATTTTTAAGTTAAATTCAAATCTCTCTGGTGCTGAAGTTACAATAATTTCAGCACTCACAAATAAGTGGGTTGTTAGTTAGATGGATCAAGATTGGGTAATATTAAATATTTTATAGTGATAAAATATCTAATTTATAACCAATAAGAAAATGTAGTTTAGTTCTGGTTCCAGTATTTCTTGGTATACAGCGACGAGAACAGCCAAATCACTTGTACTTTGATCACTCGAAAGACGGACAAAACCATTTCGCAAGACCTTGTTCGAAGATGGATAATAACGACCGTTCCATATCAGTGAAGACGTAAAAATACGTAAACTTTTCATGCTAGCAAGCAAAAAGTGAAACTGAATCCAGTATTATTGTCATCAGAGGGGCCTGGCAGAACACTGGTGAAGACGTTAGTTATGGCCAGTGATTTATTTGTAATAAATATCTCAAACCAGAGATTCGATATGATCTCATGAAGAAGTCGTGCTTTTTATCATAGAGTGAGCCGTTTGTAAAAGTTCAACTTTTCCTATGCATGTTTTTCAAGTAAGGAAACTTTTGCACAAAAAGTTGCGTATATTGCCTCAAATTTTCAAGAAAGCTAATGAAGCTATGAAAAATTAGAAAGTTTGAGTTGTTTTTTAAGGCCAAAAACTTAATTGCAAAAATTTGACTTTTCAGTTTTCAAGCTGTCCAAGTAATGAAATTAAGAAGTTTTTGAATTTGTTACAAAAAGCGAAAAGTTTCATGGATCTAATCATTTTTGTTCCAAATAGCGAGTTAACCCTTGAAAATATTTCGATTTTTTCAACTTATATCATAGATCCAATCGTTCCGCGTAAAACTCAAAACTTCGAAGCGAGCGCTTCAGCTTTGAAACGCTCATAAAGTAATAATAATGTTCCAAGTTAATCATACAGCAAAACTTCCCGAAAAATTAGTTTTTCAAGAAATGGAGGATGCTGTTGTTCGTAGTTGATTTGTGTCTATTGAAAAAGAATTGAGCGGGTAGTCTAGCCTTGAAATTGAATGGCGTTCATTTTGTTTGAAGAGTTTTTTTTATCGAAACAATTCTAGAACCTTCCAGACTTTGGAACGTTTGATGGTCGTTCTGAATGATTTTTAAAACAGTTTGTTGTACGTTTTTAAACGCTGCGCCCGATTACCCGGTCGACACAAAGCTTTATGCTAAGCTGATTCAATATGACAAACTCTGAATTCTACAGACTTAATCAGGAATCCAGCAAAGAAATCAGCAAAAATCAGCAATTTTCAGAAGTATTGGTTTCACAGGCCAAAATGCGTTTGTCGCTGGATTCCAAAACAAGTAAATTTTCGTGAGATTTCTCTGTAGGCAACATTTGTTTTATTTCCAGCTACAAAAACCAGAAGATATTTGAGAAGAAATGCAATTAACAAAACCTCATTCGTAATGACCTAACTGACAGTGTAGCCCGTAAAATATCAGAAGGAAAGCCAGCATATATAGCATGCTACTCAAACATGGATGTGTGCCAACAGTTAAGCCCCATTCTTTATTTTAACTAGCGAATTTAGTCCTATCCACTGTTTCAATTTTCGAGAGCTTTAATATTCTGATCAACGATCAACCAGTGATAAAAAAACACAGATATGTGATTTAGATTTATAGTCAGGGGCTGAAAAGTGTGGCTTTTTCTTCTAGTACTTCTCTCACCTTTCAGGTACACGACAGGCATCTGTGGAGTGAGTTCTTTCATCCTGGCTTCTGCGATGCAGCCAGTCTGGATGTCCCATCTGGCACCTTCCATATACAGACCACTGATGTAGGAGCCCTCTCTGGGTGGGGCCCCAAAGTCATCCCGACTCTTCTTAGTCACGTCACAGTTCAGTACCATCTTATCCAGCGGCCACTCGTTCTTGCGCGCCGTCTGCTGCATGATAGCCGTTAGAAAGGCTTGTGGGTTGAACAAGCCCCCCAGCCACACCTACAACAACATGATGCAAACCAAAATAAGGATAGTCGGTTGTTTTGCAAGTAGCACAGAAAATTGCCAACAAAAAACTAGGCAAAAAGATATAAAAACATAGCTTCAAAGACTAAAACTCTTATATTAAAATAAAGACATAAGTCTTGTTTCCGTAAAATATCCTTGCTCATTTGCTTTTTTTAGCTCGATAGTCTACACATATAATCTTTAGTTTTGCTAGACTGAAGAGTATTAGGGCTCAAAAAACTACTGCAGGGACAATATTGACAAGTCGATATAACTAAAAGGAACTAAACAAACTTTATTTGATAAAAAGCCAACTTAGTAACTTTTCAATTCACGTTATGATTCTCTCAATTTTTTTTCTAGACTAGTGAAAGTCATCCTTTCTCATTTAGAACTCAAGGTCAAATAAACAAATAACATCACCCACATTCCCCACCTCCTTGGGATGTGAAGCTACAAATAGTAATCCTAAAATAATAACTAAGTTTACAAAATGCTTCATTGAACCACAATGTACAATCTCATCAAACGTCCAAATAACTTAGTGATACGAGTTTTTTTTTTCATTTTATTCAGTTTCAGCTTTTTTTAAATGTCAAGTTTACTCCAATTTTTTCTCAGTTTGAATCATTGTTTACTGGTTTTCTTGTGTCTCCGTCTCCGTCTCACTGTCGTCGACTTTCTCTCTCGCTGTTTGCGTCCTCGTTGTTGTCATAGTTCTGCCTTCATCTACTTTCGTAGATGGTTCTTCGCTCGAGCTGGTCATATATTTTTATGTCCAGTTAATTTGTTTGCTTTCATTTTCTCTGTTCTTTACTTCCTGTTTGCTACTGTCACTTGAATATTCTCTTTCTGAGTGGTCTGGTATTTATTTGCATTCATAATATGGGTCCTTCTCCTCTGTTTTGTTGGCTTTAGGTGGCTCCATCTTCCTTGCTATAAAGACCAGTCATGCTTCGGTGTGTATTGTAGAGATCCACACATCATGAAACCTAACAATTCATCTATCTACCTTCATGGCGTTGGCCAAGAACTCAGACAGCTGATTTTCTGAGTTGACAAACAAAATGTCGATTCCTTCGTAGTAGTTTAGTAATATTTTATGGGCTACCTCTCTTCTGCTGGACTTGCACTTGGATGCTTTGTTTTTGGGTGAGTACACTGCAGTTCTGACACTCTGAGACTATCTGTGAATTTTCTGCACTTCATAAATGTTTCTGATAGACCGATGTAATGAATCAACGCTTTCCAGTACGATCTCGTCCGTCGCGTGTCTCGTGGCGAGAAGTTTTGCTTCATTTATATCATTCTTCGCTCTAGTTATGATCTTGCTTGACTATTGGAATACTATTAACAAAATTCTAATCTTGCTTGACTGACCAATGAAATGCGATGCTGAGTTCATCTGCGAATGATTTCAACTCGCCCCATTGTCTCGTGGCGAGAAGTTTTGCTTCATTTATATCATTCTTCGCTCTAGTTATGATCTTGCTTGACTATTGGAATACTATTAACAAAATTCTAATCTTGCTTGACTGACCAATGAAATGCGATGCTGAGTTCATCTGCGAATGATTTCAACTCGCCCCATTGTCGCTCTTCCAGTGTAGCTGGCGCCAGTGTGTATCTCCATCTCTAGGGGTACCGTCATTGGTCTCATCATAATCAGCTAGATTTTTAGCTCATCTTAATCAGGTTTAGCTTTTTTACAATTCCAACATGTGGTCTAGCCTTTATTGATGACAAGCAATCGATTAGCTTTTTTGCAAGGTCTGATTTTGATAGTGTCAATAACCACTTTAATTAGCCTATCAGTTATACCAGTCTCATCATCACCTGTAAGTCCTTGAATTTCACTATTTTCTCCATTACTACCCCTCGTGTATGTGAGAGTTGTCATCCGTTAGTGTCTGCTTTCCTAGACTGTTTCGGTATTGATCTTCATTACCAGAAATTCAAACTTCGGCTTCTTGACGGGCCCTGTGTTGATTTCTGGTAGCACTCTTTTTATTTTGGCATGAAAATCATCCGTGCATGCGATCTTCTTGTCATCTACATACAGCGCTAGTAATCCTATCTTCTTGCCTTGTTGAACAGTTGCGTAGAATTAGCAGTTGTTTCTGCTGCATTCCTTAATCCCTACTTGGTTGAGTTTTCTAATAATGGTAGCGTACCAAGCAACCGCTGCGTCTGCCAGTCCATAAGTGGCCACATTCTACTTCCATATGGTCACAATATATGTACCTGCTTCCCTTGGTGGGGAAATATAGCCTAGTCGGCTTAAGCTGTCTGAATGGAGAAAAGCTTCACTAACATCGGCAGATCATATGGTTCTTCTTCTGTAAGCTATTATCAAGTTGGCAAAGTAAAATGCGGACTTCTGTGATGCGTTGCTTCTTTCTTCTTTATGTTTTCTCTGACTGTGAGTCTGCTTTCATGCTCCCTGGCACCGTCTTGTGCCATTTTCCAGGTGCTCACCCATCTGCATTTGAATAATGTGTTACTTTTTTTTAACGTTTCGATTGCAGGGACCTCCTTAATTACACCATTTGACTTTAATTCTTGTAACTTCTCTTGTCTTGCCGTTTCAAAAACTTCCGTTTTTTTCCAATTCTTCCTTTGAGGCTACTTCAACGACTGCAATCAACCAACGTCGGTCTTCAGCGACTGCAAAAAACCAACGTATTTTTCCTTTGGGCCTCTGGGTGGTAGTTCCTCCTGTCTTACTTGATCTTCTTCACTTATTATCTCTTCGTTGCTGTCGTTTCCTCCTTACTGTATCGTGTCTTTATCAGACGCTTTTATCTATCCCTCGTTCTAGATACCGATCCGTTCGATCCTGTATTTGTTCGCTTCATAGCACTGGTAAAAGCGCGACTCCACTGTTGTCATCAGTCTTGCTGACTATGTCATATCCACATGCTCGCACAGTGGTTATGAAATTAACGGCTTCTAACTCGGGTATGTTATTTGGGGTGGTTAATGTAAACGATTTTTCTTTCTAGTTTTGTTTGGCATTGTCTCCATTTTCTCTTCAACATCTTTCTGTTTCATTTGATCCTGTCCGTCGCAACTTGAATTATGTATCCTTTCTCTATGTCTCTCTTTTCGGTGTTGTTCGCAAAGGTGTATTTCTAAGTCATTAGGCTCGGAAGCATTGTATGATCTGATGAAAATTTGTCCGTTCCTCTTTCACAATTTTGTAGATACATGGTACAATCTTTTATCCCTTAATTAAAAACAACGACAGTTAATTCTTTCATTATCTCACAATCAATTTTATTTCTGTTATCATCCGTTCAAATCATTTTGAAACTATTCTGACACTAATTTTCTGCTCTGTTTTGATATGTTTTGACATTTTTAGTTCCTGTTGAGCTTACTGCGAAGTTTCCGTTCTGTTGTAAAACGTTTTGTTCACACGATTCATTTGAACTTGAAATATGCATTTTTTGAAGATGATGTCATCCACGTTTCCACTTTTTAGGTTGCAATCCTGGGTTACATGCTACCAGTGTTTCTGATCCAATCTAGGCCCAATACTGTGCATATATAACTCTAGCGTAATCTGCGTAAACAATTTTTTTTTCATGTTTAATCAATATTTTGCACCCTTGCATATTACTTTTTTGCAGGGCCTAATCATCTGTTATTTCATGAATTTTTCTTTTGTATGTTATTATATTTATATCAGCGGGTTTTAAACTTTTTCAAGGTTGATGTTTGGCCTTTTCTTTTTTTTCAGCTTTCACAAAAGCTTCCATAACTGCTTGAATTGTGTTCAAGTGTGTTTTTCGGTCCTGAATGTTTAGATTGTTGCTTATCAAAGCACTATGGAAATTCCCCTTAATTCAGTATTTTAATCATAAGACTTATTCCGTACACATAGGTGAACATCAAGGAGCATGTAAATTGCCATAATAGCACAATCTAATAAAACGTCGTTGTTTTCCGTCAAATATTTGTCATTTTTACATCTTTTTATGATGCTTTTAAGTATTCCATTATGTCTCTCTACTACCCAATTTGAAAATATGCATAACCTGCTGCGGCGTTTATCATGCATGCGAAACTAGAATTCATTAGTAGCATGAATTCTTTATTGAATTCTCACCCCAAGTCATGAAGAAATTATCTGGCGAGGAGTAGACAAACTTCGTGAACCAGTTCGTAATTACGGCAAGTGACGCTAATCAGAAGTATAGCTACACTCAGACGTGAGAACTCATCCACCATTTGTTATATAATGATTTTTCTATAGTGCAGGTCTTTGGCATCATGCAGGTCTTTGAAATCAATACTTCTTTAGATTGTAAGTTTGTTAATGTTACTACTTCTGTTAATTCTAGCACACTCGCTGCATATATTCACGAATTTTTGGAGCAACTCTTCAATTTGTTTATTTGATACCGATAAATTCGCTGTAACTTAAGAGTTGTAGATAAGCGTTTTCAGTTATGCAAGTCTTTTAATTTTTAGATCAGTTCTTTGGTTCTCCAATCTATCAGTAATTTAGAGGATTTCAATTTTTTTTTTTCATTTTCTGATGCTCTAATTGTGAGTTTATTGAGAGATGCTTTAACTGTGAGTCAATTTTTACTGCTAATTGTCGGTGGCCTGTTTCTCTCCTTGAGATTAAAAAAGTGTGATGCTTCGTCCATTGTCTTTTACTGAATCTAATTTCTCGAGTGCTTGAATGCCAAGTAAAAGTCATCATTTATGACAAATATCTTGATCGTTGAAAAAGTTTCAGCTTCTTTTGGGGGTAAATGTAAAAAGCTTGTCGCTCTAACAGGTTCTCCTCTTCCAAAATTGAAGCTTTAGTCGCTGGTTTGTTTCCTGTTTTGTAGTTCCTTTCAACTACTAGAGGGAAGCATTTTTTCAGAAGTCACTGTTTCTGCTGCCCTCGGGTCATTTATAATTTTTGATATTCTTCATATCACTCGTTTTTTGTATTCTTTTCTTCTGAAAAAACGATTTGATTTACGTTC